AAATAAAAGTGTCATTGTACCTTGAAATTTAAACATTGATTTAACTTTTAGTGCATTATGGCATAGTATTCTATAAGACTTCTGAATTTCTTATATTGTGACTATATGCAGTCCACACCTCTATGGAGAAGATGCCTGTTTTCACAAAGAGTGACCCTAAAATAATAGCTTATTTATCCTTTATGTATAATGAAAAGTGTTCATTTTTTGTTTAGAGAAAGTGAGGGATGGAGCCCTCAAGGCCTTTGGAGTTGGGGCAGCTTTTAAAAGTTTTATGGGCAGGAGCTTCCCCACCCCTACTACAACTAAGCAGACCTATAAGTATTATGAAAACAAATTCCTTTTTTAATCTGTTCTCTGCAGCTTCTTCGTGATCAATTTCAGTATAAACCAGTCTTGTCAAAACAGCAATTCCTTCAACATGGCTTTGCAGAAAGAAAAATACAGATTGTTTGTGATATTATTAGTTACATTTATAAAAGGCACAAAGAATTCAGTAACATTAATAAGGTACTGAAAGTTAATTTTGTTAGCATTTTTGAGGAAAAAAAGACAGTAATTAACATTAAGAAATGTTTAATGTTTAGGAACCCCCATGTTTTTTATTTATTAATGTTTGTTTTTATTAATAAAATCCTTGTCTATCTATTAGTTGATATGTCACTTACTAAGCACTATATAATTTGGGCTTTTTTCCTTCTGATGTTGGAACAATACCATATCTATTTTTTTTAATTCCTCCTTTCATTTAATTTCTTCTCTCTCCTACATCCTTCTTGTAGTTAAAATTGTAATGATATTATTAGGACTTTAAATTAGTTGTAAATTTGCTCAAATTGGTCAAATTTGACACTTGAAAGGTTTGTTGTACAAATAGCTTTGGGCTTATATGTGAAGGTTTCCACTTGTGCTTGTAGGCTCTCCAAAAACTGCCCACCCCAAAATTGTCAGAATATCTCATTATTTTCCAGAACAGTTTTTGGAGAGAGAGATCCCTTTCTCCCCATGGTATTTGCTGATCACTGCTATTCCATTAGTGTATCAATATGATTAGATATAAACATATGGTCCATTTTGTACTTTAAGATGAGGATGTAATAAACATATTCTGTGTTGCATAAAACGCAGTTCTTAGCCCAACACTGGATATTGGTTTTCTATGTCTTACAGGTAAAATCCCAAACAGAAAAAAGAAGCCATTCGGTTAAATCTCTAGCCCATGCAAGTTTTCCTAATCAGCCTGATACTGTAGCTATCAGTACTGTGGATTTGCAGCAGGTAGGAACATTCAACATTCTTTAAGATAACAATTAAGTATTTTTTAAAAAAATGAGACATGTCATTTTTAAATATTTATCCTACTGGATACTTTGGTGTTCACAGATCCTGTTTTTTATCTGTTTTCAGCATCAATAGCTTACTTGTTAAGAATAATGTCTGGGAGAATGTGAACTGCATTATGCTATCTTACTGAACTGATCACATAACCTCTTTTTTAACTTTCCCTCCTCATACTGTAGGATGATTCTCAAATCTTCACATAGGTCTGTTCTATGTTACATCTTGATTTGTTTAATAAGTATGTTTAAGGAGTCCTTCATTATACCATTGACTATCATTAAGGAGTCAATGATTGAGGGGACAGAATGGTGTATTGATCTTTCTTTTCTTTCCAAACCAGAATCTGGCAGTTCTGTCATCCCATCTCTCATACAAACAATTTGCAAATGGAGTCCTTCTCGCTGAATTCATAGCATTCATACAAAGACTGCTGCCTAAGGACTATTTACTGACATTTCTATGCTACTCTACTCTGAGTAGTATGCAGCAGAAACAGATTAAAAGCAATAGAATGTAAATCATAATTAAAAACAACAGAAGGTAAATCATAATGGCACAATCCAATGGGGCAGACCCCAAATTCAACATCCCCCAGATGCTCTTTGTTAGATTACAATTGATATTTTTTAAATGGCTTCTTTCTCTGATTATTATATTGTTGGCTGCCTTTCAAATCTTGAATATGAGCAGCATAAGCAATTTGGCTGTAGTGGATTTCTCAATTATGAATGAGTTGTTTTAAAAAAAAGAAAAAATCAATTTCCTAAAGAAAGCTTATTAAGAAATTTTATTTCTTTTATATCCATCACTAAGCATATACGTTGGTGAAACTGTATTTATGAATCTGAAACTTAAACTGGTTCTCACAATTATTAAAATGGGGCTGATGTTGAATCAAAAGGAGGAAATAGCCTACCTTGTCCTTTAGGCTTGAGATTACCAATATTAAGGAAAGCAGGTAGGATTTTGTTTTTGAATGTCAGTGATTTATTTGAATTGCTTATATATAAGTATATTCCACAGATGCTTTAAATCAAAGTGCTTTGTAATTTAATCAGTGATTTAATACATCCTTTGCTATTACTTTGGATGGGGTCTTTTACATGTTAAGAAACCTCAGGTACAACGTCATAAAAGTGTAATTAACATGCATATCCCTGAAGATTTTGTCAGTGACACACTGAAGGAAGTGAAAGATTGCGTTGTCAATAACGTTCAAGTTTTGGACAGTGGCGGTGATGCCTTGGATAATATAGATGACCCGGTAAGATCATTCTCATTTTCTTAGCCCACTTCCTGCTTGTTAAAGTGACATTAAAAACCACTGTTTGTAGCAGTACTAGGAGACAAATCATACTTGAATAAATGTTAATGTGAATAAAGCTATTTAGATTAAATAGCTTTTGCAGTATTATATTTCACTGAACAGATTATATATGTCTAACAAATAAATATAAAGAATTACTTCTAGACTTCTACAAGTGTTTCTGCTTTGACAAGGCAATCTTATGGTGCAGGAAGGAATGAAATGTGACAAAGTTCATCCCTTTTCCCCTCAGTCCACTTTTGTCCTGTGGAAATCCAACTGCACTCAAATCCATCTCAGCCATGAGATCAATGAAAAGATAATACTTTTCTAGAATTGATGAAATGACTTTCAGGTAATCCCATGTGAGGCATTGATTATGTGTGAATGTTTTGCTAACGATCCTGCTAGCTTCTACAGAACAGATATGAAACCAAATCTGAACAGGCAACAGATATATCTTATTTATTGTTCATGTTCAATGGAGCATAATACTTGCAACCTCATAGACAAGAGTTTATAACCTTCCTCCCTATTTAAATTATTTCAAAATTTATGATTTATATTGTCTCCTGAAAGGAAAATATCCATTACAGTACATCACACTGAAATACTGATATTCTGTGTTCTGTTTTGTGATTTGATCCTTAGGACTGATGTTCAGGCAAACCTGTCTTTATGTTTTAAAGAGTAATATTTCTTTCATTTTCCTTAATTCTGCATTCTATGGAACATCTACTGCATTTGTTATTGTCTCTACACTGGCAACTTATTTTACACACTTTATCAGTTCTTAGTTTATCCTTCACAGAGGTAGTAGGTGTTCCATCTTGCTTACCATTCCAAGGCTTATTCCTGTACTTTTCTTGTCTAGATCTTTCCTATCCAGCCTTTCAGATATGTGGAAGGTTTGTATTTTTATACTCCTGGTTCTGATTCTTTGCTTGCTCTAAATTTATTTTTTATAGTGCATACATTATTTTGAAGGACAGTGTGCAGATGTTGAATTTCTTTTTTTTACTAGTTGCATCAGGGTTTTTTGTTGTTGTTGTTGTTGTTGTTGCATACTCTGTTCCTTTGCAATCTAATAGCTGATCTCTTGTTTGTGATGATGTGATGCTGCATTGGGATAATGTATCATGTACCTTTTTTTTGATAAACTTCTGATGCACTTTGTAAAATGAATGTTGATCATTATCTTGCTTAAGTAGAAGTTTCTATAATTTCAACTGATACCACATCTGACAGGAGATGCTTTATCAGTTGGATTAAACTGAATCCAATAATATAATGGAAAATCCTATAAAAACATTTCTATGCCTTTTATAGAAGAAAAATTTTAAAAAATACCTTTATAAAAAATAACTATATAAAATATTGTATTGATTGCTTTACAAATTAATCAGATGAAGGGAGTTATATGCGATTATTAGAAGTTATGCCAGTGTTCTTGTCCTTACTTATAGATTTCTATGGTGCAAATGTTAGTGCTAGTGCACAGGGTTCTAATTTATGGGCCAGCACCATGGATCTGCTTTCTGGTTTCACATGGAGGCCTCTTTATATATTTAAGGTAATTAATAAAAGTCTAAATCTGTGCTATGACTACAGTGAATGAAAACTATGTTATTTCCAGGTTGTAAAGAAGGAAAATGAAGTAGAAGTATTAAAGAGTCAACTTGCTGAACTACAGCAAAAGTTTCATACACTGAACAGTGTGGAAGAGAAGTTAGAAACTTTGGAGAAGAAACTGCAAGGGAAAGTTGTTATAGAAGAGAATGAGTGGAATAATCTTTTGAGTCGTGTCCTCCTCCTTGAAACGCGGCTGTTGCTTCATTCCAAAACAGTGTGTTTTATTATCTACTTTTCTCTCTAATAAAAATTAGAAGTGCAAAATGTTTAATATTACATTTTAACTTTTAGAGGTTATCTGGCTTAATTTACTAATCCGGATAGCACAAACCGTTCCTATTTTACACTGTCATGATGTTATCAAAACTAAAGAAGGTATTTTCTTTTCCAAAGAAACCCTTCTAAAATATTACTTTTTCATTTATAATGGAAAGCCTATAGAAACTACTGAAAATAATAATTCTGTTCCAACTGCTGTCACTATCTGTACATTTACTATTAATGCATATTAATGAAAATAATTGTTAATGGGTGAAATACTGTTTTGTTTACTATTTAACAGTTTTCTGTATTATTTGAAATTTCTTTCTCCATTTTAAGTAATTTATTTGATTTTCAACAAGTTTAAAATACTGTGTTAAAATGACATGCAGTTTTCTCTTATCAAAACATTATTTTAAAATTGCAAATTTGAACCAGAGAATGTATAACAAGAGGCATTATTTACATGTTCAATGTAGGAACATTGTTGTTTTTCTTAGTGTTTGTTCTGCATGGTTTCAGGGTCTGCTTGTTTTTGCAGGGATGTTTTGCTTATCAGCTGGCTTGTCACAGAGTCTGATGCTGATTAGAGAAGGAGTGACTTTCAGCTGGCTTCTGTGTCTAAGGGAGGATTAAAAACTGAGTTTCCTGTTCCTGCTCTAGCACCTTAACCATTATACCACACTGGCTGTCTTAATGTATGAAAGTACATTTGGGGATTTAACATGTCTTTTTTTATGCAAGGATTTTGCACTTGGACAAAAAAAAAAAAACCCCGACAACTGTTTTTTACATAGAAGAAAGCTTCCCTTAGTAACAGCATAGCACTGGATCTAGTCCATGAATTTTATTCTATATAATGTCAATGGTATAGGACTGGAATTCTGATAATGAGATATAAACAGCAAGCTATGAAGCTGTTACTACAGTATTTTTGATGTATTCCCATTTGAAACATCTGCAAAAATAGCCCCTTATCTCAGGTTAAATAGTGCTTCAATTCAGGGTTTGGAGATTATGCAAAACATAGTTTGCCAGTTCATGTGCTGTGATACTGTAACTGGAGTAAAATAGGAAGATAGGATTTATATACCTGAGTCTGTGACTTCCTGAATTATAGATAATTTTTTATCATACTATAGCTTAGTTACTGCAGAAGTAGAGCAAGAAACCTCAAAATAGTTATCTCACTGAACAGTTCATGAGTTATTAGTGATAAAATATCTTATAATTTCAGGCTGACATTTCTGTAGAATTTAATAATATGAGGGAAGAAGATACTTCTAGCAGAAATATGACTCCAGTTTCATCTGGTAAGTACTTGATGCAATTTTCCTCTGTCTTTTTAATTTTGCTAAAATGCTGTCCATTTAAATTTGCTATATTACACTGAAATGTAGTCAATCTAAATTTTATTCACTATATCATATAGTCATTTTTTAATGCTTATTGTTATATGTGTTTTTCCACTCTTCTTCGTTGTAGGTAACAACATAAGATTGTAAGCAACATATCTAAAATTTAAATGGAAAGTTGTCTCCTATCTTAGATTTTAGTTATTTCAATGTTTTTTAATAAGATTTTCAGGAAGAAAAATAAAAGTCAGTTGCTGACAAGTACATTCTGTTGCAATTTGTTTGTGTGTCTGTCTGAATGGCTGTTTTTTTAAAAAATAGCTAGCCAAAAAGTCTGAATCGGAAACACATGTAATCTATGTCTGTCTCTGTGGCTTCAATGGTGTTGCTTAGTATTCATACTGAAAAAAAATAAAACTTGATTTCTTCTATTCTCTAAAGGATTATATTTTGATGGTAAGCTACAGAATTGCCTACCTATAAATTAATTCTAGTATGTGGAAGTTGGAAAACTTTTAGAATATAATAAAGTACAGATGTTGTCTCTAAGCTCCGAGATCCATCAGCAAGTTGCATATAATATGTTTTCTCCCTTTAGACTAAATTAATTAACATGTTCTCAATATAAAAAGGTTGGCATTTCCATAGAGAGTTGTGCTGTTGTTGTTTAAAAACAACTTGTGGTTACCTCAAACGCTTTCTAACACAGAGAAATTTCAAATTCACATCTCATAAACTGGATGTCTTTGAACTCTGAAGAAAAGATTTATACTGGGAATGATTGTAATGTGTGTTTATTCACAGATAAAGAGAAGGTAGAATTGCCAGAGAGTCTTCATCAGTCATCTGGATATAGTTCACTGTTATCTGCAGACCCATCTCCCAAAGCCATGGCCGTTAATGATAATGGTGTGTTGGAAGTTTCAAAAGTAAGTTAAAACTGGTATATATAAATTATATATTTTGTCAGAGCTATATAATAAACATGTTTGTGATTTTACTTGTCTTTGGTAAAGTAAGTGTACAAAGTTAAAACTCTTACTTTTAAATTGTAGGAAACAACAATACAAAAAATGGAAAGAATAAACAAAATGTAAGTAAGAGGGTTCTGTACAGATTTATTTTTTAGCAAACAGGATTTGAAATACAAATACAGAGTAAACAATTTAACGGACCTTGGTTAAACCAATATCAGATGAAATGAACAGAATCTTTCCAAAGCAGACATAAAATTCTATTCTATTTGCCATTTTACATATGCATAAACGCATAAAATATGCACAAACAAAAGCTCATTTCAATTTCACATGTGCACACTATTCAGACTTAGTGGACATTCTACTTTAACTGATACTCCTTTTTCCCATTAGTCCATTAAATCATGAGTTTATTGTCCATGTGTTTTCCATACTCCCATATGAGGTAGAATTTCCTTAAAATTGTACTAGACAATAAACCAAACTATAGTTCTGTATTTTGTCAGATGAAACACTTTTTATTTCTGGAAGACAATATGAGATGCTTTAATAATAAAGTTTAAAGTACTTATTTATTAAACTTTTTTTTATTAGCAGTGCTTTACTGAAAAAAAAATAATATTGGATTAAGTAGCAAACTGGTTTGAAAAAAGTGATATTTGATTGGAAAGTCTGCGTGGTTTTTTTTTAACAGCATAATTTTCAATGTCCTACTGACAAATATTTAAAGTATTAATTTGTAAAATTAAAAACTTGTTTCATGTATTGCAATATGTCTGTTCAACCATGTTTCTATGAAGTTATTTAAATTTATTGATTTTTAATATAGATACAAAATTGCTCCTGATTTTATCTTAATATTTTGGAAGAGACCAAAGACATTTAACTTAGTTTACATATTTTATAATGTTTTAAGGATTGAAGAAACTTCTGAGTTGTTGAAGACTTCACGTAACACCTCTTCAGAGTATTCTACTCCATTCAGCCAGATAACTGAAACTAATTATGTATGTCCATAAACTTAAACAAAAAAAACTCTTTGGATCCTTTTTTATTGTTTGGGACTGAAGTTATTTAAACTATTCCTTTTTATAAATATATATTTTTGTATATATGTGTGCCATTGATATAAGTATCATTTAATTATATCTAACCTCAGTATATGGTGACATTATTACTGTACTCACAGCCTATTTATGTAACAAAGTTTGCTAGCTAGTTAAACAAATACATTTTTAAAGAACAGGCTCAATGACCTTTTTTTTTATCCTGTTGGAAATACTGCAGCTGGGACTTGCATATTGTACCTAAGGGAAATATGTATCTGCCAACTTGACATCAGTAAAGCGTGCAAGTGTTTTACACATATTGTATACATACTGTTTTTAACATATCTTAAATACATACAGATATACTTTAATATTCATTCATGGTCAGAATAGCAGTGCATTTCAGCTTTCAGTGACTCTGAAACTGAAAGGCTATTTTGATAAATAAGTTATTCAAATACATAAATAAGGTCTAGAGATTTTGACTAGCAAATGTGTTGAACTTTTTAGTGCTAGATAACCTGGCACATTTTAAGAACAGCAGCACATATGGAGGCCATCAAGTCAGTATATAAAGATACACAACACTTTTATGATTTGAAACCATATAAAATGACTCTTTGGAGATTAAAGTTGATGTAAAACATCCATAAAAATGATTTATTTGGGTGTGAAGCAGGAATTGAGGAGAAGAGAAAAACTTCTTTAAATTGTTCCATACTTACCTGTTACATTGGGAAGTTTTTAATTATAATATATTAATCTTACTTCCATCAGTTCATATGGAAAGTGGTATTAAAGATCACATTTATCATTGAAGGGTTTTTAATGGTAGGATCTGAAAATGTGAGAAAGTTTCTTTACAGTAATTTTGGGGGACAGGGGAGACATATATCCCCTGTGTCAAACCAACTTGTACAGATTTTGAAAGCTAGCTTATACTGTATCTTAACAGTTTCTTAAAAGGAAGATCTCAAAAGTTAATCATATTCCTAGTTTGTAAAATTAGACCATAATCATAATCCTTCTAACTCAGTATATCTCTGTTTAGCTAACCACAGTATATTAATAGTATAATCCTACTTGAATCTAATATTTTAAGTAATTAATTCAAGTTGCTTTTCACAATACTGGGATATTATTGCCCAACTCAGGAATTGCATCATTATTTTTATTTATGTATTCAACTATGTATAGTTGAATTGCTAATATTCTCTTTATTTCTGTTGGAAGTGGGAGCAAATTGGGGAAGTAAATTTGTTACATGAATTTTTTTTTTCTTTAACAAATTTTCAATTGGTAAGAATCTATGAGCAAACATTCAGATTTGACATCCTGTTTTTTCCTGTTATTTTGTAATATATGTAATAACGTATGCATTTGTGTTTGCTTAAAATAGCACAAAAATATGATGTACCTTCTGAATAACTCTCTTTAGGATCCCTCAAACCCTAAGGTATTGGGGTATTGATGACACAAGGGCCATTTCTTTCCAGGTGAACTGTGACACTCTTTCTTTGAGACTCCACCTACCTGGATAAATTAAGTAGGTGTGGATTAGAGAATTTCCTTGATTCTATAAAATCCTGCAAAATAACCTTTGAAGAAGATCTGTTGGAGCCTTTTGAAAGCTGATATTAACATTTTATATATTATTGCTCCACTATCATTTTAAAATGGCAATAGTGTGTTGGTTATTTATCTACAGTATTTATACTTGGTTCAGTTATGAAAATTTGCTGGACAGTTTACAACTGAAGTGAAATAATTACCTACACAGTTAAATAGTTATAAATAAATTTTATATTGTAAGTCATTTTTTAGAAATCCTATTTGTCTTGAAAATATTTTTAATTATGTGAAATTGATTTAATTATGTGAAGTATGTTTGGCATGCTTGATTGGAGAGTTTATAGCACTAATTTTTCCCCTTCAATTACTATCTGCATAGTTAACACATATAATCATAATTTGGGAGAGTCCCTTCATTTTCAGGCTTTGGTATAATGAGTTAGCATACAAAATTCAAAGTATCTTTTTCTATTTATAATTACATTCTTCAAGTAAAAATATTTCATTGAATTTTGCTTATAAAGAAAATGTATAACAGCATTGCGGTACCACCTTGTGGTACATGAAAAGTATATGTGAAAAAAACAATAGTTCCTAGGAAGTTTCATGCATCATGTTGCATGCTGTACATATTTTTCTCCTATGGGTTGTGAGAATAATCATAGTTCCGTTCATGTGTTATGAATATGAGGATTAATTAATGAAAAGAGAGAAGATAAAAAGAATGAAGCAAACAAAAAAGCTACTTGTGCATCTCTTAAATACTAAAAAGTACTCATCCTAGATACATGATGTTAACATTTAAATGACATGCACACTCCTGATGGGTTCCTTTTTTTCCCCCCTATGTGTGAGAATAGCAATCTCAACTTGCAGATCCTTTTCCCATCTTGCTCCCACACTTAATCCTTAAAACTCTTCTTTTTTCAGGTCTTTTGTGAATTTGGAAGAACATTTTGGGAGTTACGTATCTAGTAACATTTTCAATTGTAGTAATATTGGGGTTAGGTAATGTTTGTGAAATTTGATTGTTTTATATTTATATATTTATTTGTATGATGTTGTAATTTTATTGTTTGTTTCTGATGTGCTTAGGTGTAACTGCATGCCAAATAAAAGTATTACTACATAGCATTAAATCAGTGTACTTAACATAAGAAAAAAAAGGAAATTGAGCATACAAAATAGCATAACAGTTCACATTTCTGAATAGTCCTCCAAATATTGCTGGTGGTGGTAGCTCATTCAAAAATAAAAAGTCAGGAAAGTTCTTCAGACCATTGTATAATTAAACTGATGGAACATATACTACGTTTGATCTTAGCCAAAAGTCTGAAAATAATTGTACAATTGACAGAGATGTGTTCTTCAAGGACAAGTCTTCTTGTAACTACAAAAAACATAATTTCCATTTCTAATATTTTTCTATTTGCTCAAAACCGTATAATTAAAAACAAAACAAAACACAAGCATTTACAAAATCCAATGAATTGTCCAGCACAACTTAATGTTCCCAAGGTACTTTTAAAAGCATTTTTTCTACATAACATGAACTAATATTACATTTTGAGCACATCTTCTCCAACTAATAATAAAATCTATTTTTTTTCCAATTCGCACGAACCAGTACTTTTGTTGAATTAAATGTAATTCATTAGAATATCAAGTTAATTAGCATTTTAAATTAGTGTAAACTTTCCTAATAGCAGTTCAGCAATAAAATGAGGTTGCTAGATCATCTTTAAGATTCCCCTTTCTTTAAAGTATGAATAAAAATATTCAAACATTAGTGTGCTGTAGATATTTTGCATACTTTCTTCTGGGATAGGGGCCTTTACTATATAGAGAGTAAATGTCAGCTGCAAAAATCTATAGCTCAGCATAAGCTATAAACAAGTGCTAATGTAGATCCTGCCTTCTCATGTAGCTTCAACATCTAGTTATCAAAAATAGTGAATACTGGCTTTCTTGTGATCATATCTAGAATCTATGAGAAAACAGAAAAGAATAAATATGAGTATGTAACTGATTTTACTTAAATGTACTGCTTTCAAATGTATATTAAAGCAGAGAATATCATATTAATGGCAGAATATGAATCTAAGGAATAAGGAAATTAATAATTTTCTGACATTTTTTGATAACACTTTATAACTAAAGTCACAGTCTGGAAAATGTGTTGCTTAAAAAACAATACCAGTATAGCTATAATGCAGTATGTTAACTTCTTATAAATCATCCTGGTAAGAAAGAGGGGATGTGCCAAAAATATAAATACTCCTGCCCTGAATTACACACAAGCCATGAAATAATGTGGTTTTACACAATATGTATATTCATGCCAGTTGGTTTTAAGATGTCTGTATATATTTGTGCTCAGACTGAAAGCATTAATAAATTAGTCACTGCAGTTAGTTGTTTTAAGTCATTTATCAATTTGAAAATGGCTTTAAAAAGAGACTCTAATGGAAATGTATGATTAAATGGTCCAGAGAATGTATGTGAAGTCTCTTTTATAACTGCTCTCCTTTACCCCAAAGCATGAAACTAGTACGATGCAGTAATGACATATGCATACTACTGTCTGTTTTAAACAAATCTGTTAGGAAAACTCTTGCAAATTCAAAGGTTATTTGTTGTATTTGTGTACTAGTTTTCATGAAAAATACTATAACATTTTGTATGAACAGATACTTACATATAATGATGGCTAACCTATATACTTATCCCAGTTATACAGCCTTCCCTGTTGTAATTTTCTATATTTGAATTGCAATCACAAATTGAGCATATTAGACAGATCAGCCTTTCCCTCCAAATGTGTTGAGACTTCAGCTACCCAACTGAGCCAGATGCATTCTGAGAATCCTACCAGTTACTGTCCCAACACATTTGGAGAATGCCAAAATGAAACGGCTGATTTGTATAATCTGTCAAGCCTATAATTAAAGCTGAGGTGTTGAAATAAGATGGTTGCCATCATGGGAGCTCAGGTTGTTGGAATCAGGAACAGACAATATGCACATTCCCAGATATTTCTTCAATGACGAAGCTCCCAGTCTTCATCATCGGCCATATTGCCTAAATATTAGGGAGATTAATAATATTTGAAGGGCTACATGATTCCATCTGTAAACCATCGCATATACTTTTTCTTTCTTGTGCACATCAAATTTACTTCCAAAAAATCCCTGCCTAGCTTATGAGGTCTGGAATGTATACTTGATCCATATGGTCCCCCGACAAAATGTTACTGTTTTTATTTCCCTACATAAAAATCATAAATCTTACATCCTTTAAATCAATCAATCATACCTCTGCATAATGATGTGGAGGACCTTCAGTAGGGTTAGCAAACTGCTTTATGAGGCAGACCATGTATCCTTTGTGTATGGCAAATAAAAAGGATTTTAATGTCATGGGGAAACTGCACGTATACTGAATTTCAGCAGTTGAAAACTTAGTGAACTTGTCTTAAAGTCATATCTCAGTCTAAGTCATTCACAATTTTACCTTAACAATATAATTGAGTTTGCACAACATGTTGTTATAGTTTTCAACAAGCCATAATGGCTGAGTCACTCAACATCCTTAAAGCTAAATGAAACAAACTATACTATGCTTTAATATGTTATGAGAATCAGGCCAATGAATGAGAGAGTCCCTGTTGTTACATCACAGGTTCCTTCTCCATGTTTGGAAATCAGATTTTCTAAAATAATTTATCTTGGTATGTTGTTCCACATCACCAGATGGAATACACAGAAATCAAAATAACTATATTATGGGTTCAAAGAAGTAGAAGAACTCAGTTATAACAGCAAAAGTGTTGCGAGGGGCTGACTATGAAGCAGATTATGGACTGTCATACAAGTTCCAAGTCAAGCTAAAGCAAAACAAAGCCAACCAGTTTATACTATGATCTTGAGCATATACCCACACTTTTCAAGAACAGTATCAGGAATTATTTTGAAGTCCTGAACCTCACTGATAGAGGAATTGTGCAATAAAATCTAGAGAAATAAGACCAGCAGAAGAAGAATCAATAAAGGTTCTAACCAAACTATGCCAGCAAATCTGGAGAAGGCTAGAGTGGCTAACATATTGGAAGAGTCTGAATACCAAAGAAAGGAGTCTAGTCAAAGAAAGGAGACTTAACAGATTGTGCAAAGTATTGTACAATATCCTTAATTTCATCTGCCAGCAAAATAATGCTTAAAACACACTCCAACACAGAGCTCTACATGGAAATACAGATGCCAAATATTCATGCTAGTTTTGGAAAAGGCTGAGGAACAACAGACATTATTGCTGAAGTGCACTCGATTGAGGAACCCAAAGAATACCAAAAAGTTAACATGTGCTTCATTGATTATAGAAAGGCCTTTGATTGTGTTGACTACATGAGATAATTTTCCACTTAATTAACTAATTTGCATTATTGAATATTTTACTTTCCTGGGACTAGGTCTAGAAAGCTAGTTACTTAGTAGTGTGGTAATTGGAGCCAGTGCAATGAGAAGGATTTTCAGAGGCAGTGAAGAAACACATAAAAGTGAATGCTGCATTAGTAAAGTAAGTGAATAAATTAGTGTTGCAATTTTCATATTGCTACATTTCAGGGGCAGTGCTCAAAATATTCCTGTTCACCTCAGTACTGAAGGGTTTTGAATGTTCAAACTCAAGAAGGAAAATTAAGTAAAACATGAATTATCACAACAGACAAAAATTTGATGACTTCTGATAGTCACAAATTAAAAGAAATGCCACTTGAAGGAAAAATTGTGACTCCTCTATAGTTTTCTTGCTATGTTATTTGTGAACAGGATGGTGTGTCACTTTTCATTTATCATTCTTGCATATCTTTTTATATCTGGTTTTTCCAATCTGATTCTTCAAGTAATTTGACATGCTTTCCTTCAGGTGAAATCTGTTGGTGTGCCTTTTATTTTATTTATTATTTACATCTTCATTCGTTTAATACAAACATGTGCAACACTCAGAATTTTGCTAGGATTGGAAAAAGCTGGCACCATTTGCAACCTACAGAAAATAATTTAGAAACACCTGGCTTCAAGATTTATATCAGTGCTTAAATCCTGAAAGCACTGGCATTTTATAGCTCCTTGGAGAGAAGGCAGGATCTACATTAGCACTTGTTAGTGTAGCAGTTAATGCATTGCTGAACAAAATGGACACAAGGGACTAAGATAAACCCAAAAACTGGAGTAAAAGTATTTATAATTTACTAAGATAAGGAAAGAAGTGGGGTGGTTGGTTTATTTTATACTTCTGTTTTAAGGCAAATAAAACATGAAGTTGCTTTGGAGATATTTTAGTCATGCTATTTACTTTCATCAAATACTGGTCTTTAAAAGAATCTGAAGATTTATTTTTTCAGTCTCTTAGCTATGCATAACTTTACTTTTCATATCAACAGGTTTCCACATTCACTTAGATTTCACCTATTATATAATTGGACCTAATATAATA